AAAGGAAGTATTGTAATCACGAAAAAAAAAAAAAAAAAAAAAAAAAAAAAAAAAAAAAAAAAAAAAAAAAAAAAAAAAAAAAAAAAAAAAAAAACGGGTATCATATTTCAACGAAAATCACAATTTTGACCGCTATCAAATGCAATTTAACGATGTTTTTGCCTGACATCTGTACATAAGGACAGATTAAACCACACGAATTATAAAACTGATTAAATCTTTTTCACCACACGAATTATAAAACTGATTTAAAATGGTTTCAGAAGAGATTTTTTCGTGGCGTCTGTACGCACGTATATATCTCGCATAAACTCAAAAACGAGTAGCCTCAGAACGGTGAAATTTTGTATATAGGACTGCTATAATATGCAGTTGTGCACCTCCCTTTTTGGTTGCAATCGGCCGCATCTAACGTATATATACATATATACCCACTCTGTTACTCGGCTTCGTCAGCTGAGAATTTTATTCTTATATGCTGGTAAATTGTGCACTTTTTGCTTTAAAAAATGATTGAATTATGTTGCTGTTACTTTCGATTAAGGTTTTTATGCCTTTAATTAATCTGCATGCAGTAGTAGTGGAATTATCAACAATTTAAAAGTTGTTTAAGTGCGGCCAAGCCTAACTTTTCTTACCATAGAGCCATATTTGTTTACATTTTGAAACTTAGCGGAATAGTGAATTAAGTCTTTCTGCATCTTCAGTGTCTTTTTGCCGAGTGGGATCAAAAGGAAACTTTTAGTTTTGTGTACCGAAAAATTTGCCGTCTTGCCTGCTAGTCGAATTGCTTGTTTTTGCGTAGAAACTGTAATTTTAATTGCAAAAACTGTTTTTTTAAAATTGTTTTAACTGTATTTGGTGTTTTTCTATATCTTTCAATTTTCAATGAAGATATTTTGAGTATTTATTATTTTTGCCTTGCCGCGAAGTAAAAATTGAATTAACTGAATGAGAAATATAGCTCTAATGAAATTCGAAGAAATAAGCATTTCGTATTAGCAGCAAATATTGTCGCCAGTTTGTCTCGGACAGAGAAGAATGTTTCATCCAGCAATGATTAAATATTCTTCAAATAATATAATTTTTGTGCATTCTGTTATAAAATGAATGAGATGTAACGTAGCTGTTAAGTGAACATTGCGCCAGAGTGTCGCTACGGTAAAAAAATATATTGAATTTTAAAGACTGCATTTATTCTATTGTGATTTATGCGCTATGGACGAAGTAGATTTAATTCATATCAATAAGTTCAAATGAAATGCAGGAAAAGTGCGCATAATTTAATATCCCGTACAAAGAAGTCATGTGGTTTACATCAGATTTTTTTCTGAAAAAAAAATTGAATATTTTTAGCAATTTTTCCTGAAAGGTTAAGCAGATTTTAGGCAATTTTCTGCAAGAGAATTGAAGATTAAAAAGCAGTTTAAGAAAAAATAATTAATTTCGTGTAAAAAAGCTATTAATTTCTAATTAGTTATGAAATCGTCTTCATTAAATTATTCAGAAAAGAGCTTCACACATAATTAATCTGATTATTCTTTAACGACGGAAAACGTTTTTCTCTTTTTCCCTCGTTTTCTCTTTTTTTTCTGTTTTTAATAATAATAGTAGTCAAAAAATAATTTTAACGCAATTCATATTTGTGCAAATTTTATTCGAATTTGCATGGAAAATAGTAAGCATGGTTTTACACGAATGAATGTAGTATAGTTCAAGATTGTAGAAAACAATTATGAAAACGTTTCAGAATTTTTTCTTGGAGTTCAACTATTTTAAGTTATTCTTTATTTAGTTCACAATATGGCATTTTAATTTAGTCATTGCTAAGATGTAATTAACGCAAAAACATAAAATAAACAGATTTAAATTTAGGTTAAAATAACACGCCGAATAGTGATTATTGGAGCAGTCAAACAACAAGAATCAGCGTAATATTTAAAAATTTTGCAGGCCTAGTTTGAATATTTTAACTACACAGCCTGCTTCCTCAGCTGCCTAAGTGCAAATGAACGAGATAAGATAATGACTGGACAGAAATTAAGCTACTGGAGCCCTCTATTGATGAAACAAGAAAACTAAAACATAATTTCCTTTTAAGCTGAAGGTAAAGATGGATTGGAATTAGAGTCGTTAACTAGAACAGAAAGATTTTTTTGAATGTGAAACGTCTTTGGAAAATCAAGTTCATCAACGCAAGATGTTTTTTGAATAAGTTTGGCTGAACAAAAAATGAAAAATGTGAAAAACCAACAGTGCCGGGCAACAGAGGATTTCTGTGTTTCCTTTTTCCCAACATTTGTCTCATGTTTTTTAAAGCGAAATTTTAAGGCACTCTTAGTTTGACGAACGTAAATTAAACCACACTGTCAAGGAATCTTGTAAATATCCTCGAAATTCATATCCCATTCATTCACATCCATCAAAATTGCGCGCTAAAGAACATAAGGTATATGTTAGGAAAAAGGAAACACAGAAATCTTCTGTTGCCCAGCACTGCTGATTAGAAAATCGCACTTTCCATTTTTCTGCAGCCCAAATTATTCAAAAAATATCTTCCATTGGTGAATTAGATTTTCGAGAGGCGTTTCACATTTAAAAAATCATTCTGTTGTAGTTAACAACCCTAATTCCAATCCATCTTTACCTTCAGCCTACAAGGAAATTATGTTTTAGTTTTCTTGCTTCATATCAAGAGATGGCGCCAGTAGCTTAACTTCTACCCAGCTATTCTTATTTTATCTTATCACCATATCTTATTTCGTTGATTTGCACTTAGGCAGATGAAGAAGTTGGTTCTGTAGTTAAACCATTGAAACTAGGCCTGCAAAATTTAGAAATATTACACTGATTCTTGTTTGACTTCTCCAATAGAGTTAAATTTATTAAATCTCGCTTACACGACTGCAAAATAACCAAACGTGCATTCTAAGCATAACATTACACCACATTAGGTGGAATTACAACAATTTCTTTATTTTTTTACAGAAAATTAAATTTTTCCGTCTAGTAAGTAAATAATATAAACACTTAACAAAATCTCACCTTTATCTCAGTTCCGTTTTCAGGTAACATTTGTTTGTCAAAATTAGTTACGCCATTGATCTCTCTTCCAAAATGGACTCGGAATCTTACACATAGCGTGGCAGTTTAAGGCGCATTTCAGCATAGTATATACACTATCGTAAGTGGCATACTAAGAGACAAAGCAGAAACTATGAGGCAAACAGGGTTAAAACAAAATTTGGACACAGTTGAGAATCGTTTAATGTATGCAAATACAAATACGTTAGGATTATCCAAATTAAAAAATTTTGATTTTGATGCGCACTAATATTTTGAAAGGTGGAATCATTTGATATGCAGTTCATAATGTTTGCATTATTTAATAATTTGTAATTAGATAATACAAAAACTAATAGGATGCATGCACTTATTATTGTATTATATGATATTAACAGGTAACTATTATTTTAAATTAGAAGAATGAAAAAATTTACAAGCGTCAAAAATAACTAATACAGTTAAGAATCGTCTAATGCATGCAAATACAAATATCGAATAAAAGTATGCAATTATGTTACAACTATCCAAATTTTATTTTTGATGCGCACTAATATTTTGCGAGATGGAAAATCATTTAATGTGCGTTTCATTATGTTGTGCTATCTAATAACATTTATAAGGCAATAAGCAAACACTTATTATTGTTTCATACTGCGATATTAACAGATAACTATTTCTTAAAATTAGAAGGAAATAAAAAGTAGATAAGATTCAAGAATAAATAACACAGTTAAGAATCGTATAAATTTAACCATAAAAGCACTCTCTTCTCTTTTAAAAACAAATGGGAAAGCACTCAAGAAATTTTAATCAGCAATTTTTAAAAAAATTCTTCCGTTTAGAAATGAAAATTTCCTTGCATATTATTAAATTTGATGCCAATCAATATTTCGTTAAGGATGTTGCAAAACAGCTCAGACAGTTGTATAGGTGTAATATTGAACCAGTACTCATCAAAATCCTCTCTAATAATGCCAAAAAATGTCTTTTGAATGGGCATCCAAACACTGAAATGTTAATTATCGTTCTGAATTGCAATACGGAAAAAAAATAGTCCCAGTGTTTTATTTTGAATAGTATTATTTATACCAGAAGTGCCTTTTGAGACCAAAAACTAATGAAGTGTCTTGGAAAAATATATCTTCACCTATACATACTGATGGCTGTTATAATAAAGATGCGGTACTGGTCTAAAGATTAATTTTGATTTGAAAAAAACTATCTTGCTGAGAGGTATCACTCATAAACATTTCCATTTCTTTATTACACAATTTTGTCTTCATTAAAATTCATCCACATCGTCCATTACTACGTTTTTTTTTTTCTCAAAAGTTTTGAGAACTAATGAATTGACTTTTAACAACCTTCTCCTTCTTGCTAGTGAAAGAATGTATTAAATTTTAAACCCAGCTTTCTAATTTTTATTCCCAACTCTATTTTCTTTTCATATTTAAAACGGATTACTTTTGAGATCGCCCTTCTCATAAATATTTTCCTATTTTTGAAACACTTTAAGATAACATGAGTTGCAGTGGCACCTTCACTAAATTTAAACCAAAATTAATAAATGTATTCTTTTGCATTGGCGTGTCTGCAGATGCAACAATAATATGTGTTATTTTGAAGAGGAAGATACCGAATGTCTTTCGATTAGGAAAACCTGATTTGTGGTTTTCTGACAAGTTGCAGCTTTTATATGTTTCAAGCAGAATAATGATATTAAGGCCTACCAGAAGTTATCTTTTATTCTTCTTAGAGAAAACAATCGTAAAGCAGTCTGATAAACATAGTATGAATGATAGTCTGTTATCAGTCTTCAGAATGAGAATGTTTTCTGATATGCTGGTAAGGACAAATTTGCAAATCATCATATGACAACAGATTTCTTTATCAGTAGCTCGTAATAATAAATAGCTAAGAGGCTAACAAGGAAATCATTGAGGCTCAAAGCGGGAGAAAATGGAAGTGAAAAGTGTGTTTGTTACGGGGGCCAATAGGGGCATTGGTCTGGAATTCGTGAGGCAACTGGTGGCTCTTCCAAATCCTCCGCGTTATGTTTTTGCTACCTACAGGAATCCAGACACAATTCAGGTATGTTTGTCCATCGCATGTAGAATAAAGCTTACATGCTTAGTTCGCGAATATTTTCTGTTGCTCATTTCTTAATGCATATTGTGGTTATGCAGCTTTTGCTAAAAAATTATAGTTTATTTGTTAGAATATGCCTTGAGGAATTTTTGAAATGGAATATGTTAAGCCCGTTTTACAGTACCTTTAAAAATTCAAATTGGCATATATTAACTGTATAAATAGTTAATTCTCGTTTGCATTTCAAAATATATTTTTTCTAATTTAAATAAACGAATGAGCTCACTAATAAATAAAAAATAGCATCTCACCGAGACTCAACATTAGGTGTTCCCAACGGGGTTTGTATTCACCTTTTGGGGGTGGAGCAAGGAATTTTGAAGGAGGTCAGTGATGATCGACTGTCGAATATGCACAGGTAGTTGATTAAGAAACTTTTATAAATAAAACTAAGAACTATTTATTTATATATAAAGTGGTATCACGAAATAAGGAAGAAATGTTACAAAATAAATATACGGAACAGCAACTGCGACAAATTTAATCTTGTTAAAATGGTCCAAAGAGAGATGATTGCACTGAAGGAGTATGTTTAAGCACAAATCTCATTAAAAACACATGGATTAGCAATAGCAGTGAAATTTAAAAGTCATCTGTAAGAAATATATTAAAATAAAAATTGTTACTGAACCAACATTATTGACGTTCCCTTCTTCGAACAAGCTTTAGTCAAGTCAATAATATTCAACATGAATAATTTTGAACGAGGTGATTTAAGAAATAAATTAAGCAATTTTATGCCAAATATTAAAAACTTTCATCAATACACGAAAAAGAGTAGCTATCACAGCAATAAAAATCGAAAGTTTGTGCAATTAGAACCTGATTTTTTTTTTTTTTTTTCTGAAAACTTGTTTATATTTGTAAGCTAAAAAGTAACAATAAAACGGGAAAAAAAACTGAAATATTTCAGTTTCTATATTACGCCCAAAAGGACTTTTTTTTAACGTTTTGTGTGTTACCTTTATTTATTAAATATCATGTTCTTCGCACTTAAACCATAAAATTCAATTCAACAGCAGTATCACAAAATAATTTAAAAAGAGCATATCTTTAGAATTTCCGATACACAATCTCGCATACTGGATATAAATATTATTTTTTCCTCCTCTACATTGTTCCCATTGCTTGCTTTGAAATCGATGAGTTTGTTAATAAAAAATTCGCTGAGGTTTTACAAAATACGAAATAGATAATTAAACAAATTCCAAAATTGGGTTTCCAGATGCCCATATTCGAGTAGATGTCTACGTTATTCGGAATTCGATGTCTCTAGGTTCCGCTGTTTTTTCACAACAAGTGCAAGAAACATACATACATTCATGCAGATTGTTCATTATTTTATTTTTTTAAATATAATGCAGGGCTCTAATATTTGCTGGCAACAATCTGAAAAGTGAAACACCGTTTATAGTGAACCAACGCAAAATGCCAAAATGAAATTAATAGCCCTCCTGGGTAAATTGCCCTTTTCAGCTAATAATAAAACAAAAATCTAATAAACCATATTTTTTAAACTTTTGCTCATATTCTTAGTCTAATTGTTATCTTTAAGTTATTTATGTGCAGTTATTTGTATGATAAGCATGTTGTATGCTATATATTATACAGAAAAATGTAAGGATGTCGATAACGAAGGCCATTTTTTTTAAAAGGGGTCACTGGAAGAAAAAGGTTGGGAATCTCTGATTTAAGCACTTCTGCCTATACATGCATTTTCCTTCTTGTAATATTGTGTTTTCCATGATGTATATGACTGCAATTTGAAACTTGCAAATAAAAAATTACTATACAGGATTTATTTTCAGTACATTAAAGGCTCGAGAATAATTCATAAATAAAAGTTTTGAACACTGAAAGTTTCATCTAGATGCGAATGCAGTTTAATGTTTAAAAAAAATGCATGGAAAATTTATTTAGCTGTGAAGCTATTTTCTCCCGTTATTAGTTGAAAACTTTAATGAAATAATTGAAATAAATATTCTGTAAAATTATGTAAGGAAATGTAAACCATACGAATAAATGCATCTGTAATTGCAAAATACTGTTTTCAGAATGGGAGAAACATATGCGGTATTCTGCATCCTCAATGAACTTTCACGTGAAAAATCCTTACTTCAGGGACTTATAAACTATTTACATTTCAAATAGATACACACTAAAGAACGCATCAGCAACCTATAACCAGCGGGTCACCGATGATCCATTTCATAATTTCAAATGACCTAATCGAGTTCCGAAAATAAAGTAAAATAAATAAAAATGAATTATGAAACATAAATATGGAACGAGTATAAGAAGAATTATTAAAAAAACGAAATTAAGCAATAACTCCGACACTTTTTTACTTGATTTATTAAAAATAAAAACTGTAACATAATTTCAAAACAAAAGTTTGGCAACGCCGATCCATAACGCATGATTCCAAAAAAAATCTGGCTTTGCCCTTTTGCAGCATTTGATTCAACTTATAAATACGTGCAAAATTTTCACATATGATGGAATTTATTTTAAGTAAGAACAGAAGCAGCTTAACGACCGAAAATTCAGATGTTTGTATTTGTTTAAAAAAGATCAGCTACAAGCCAGATTTGACTAAAACTGACGTCACAAGTTCAGCATCAAAGCAGCCACTGGTATCGAATAGAAAAATTCATTCAGTTAATGATGCTTGTTTTATATTTTTTGTTTAAAGCGTATTGCAGTTATTTTCTCAACAAAATTTATCTTATTATTCACAAAGTAAGCCCGCTCTAAAAAGAAAATATTACTAATGCTAAACGTCTTCTTAATACACACATTTTGATTGATTTTGACCCGCATTCAGAAAAGGTTGCCGACACCTACACTAAAATAATTTCTGCTAGATAAATACTTTAAACTAAATAGCGAAATGCAAATAAATATTTAAAATAAGAACAAACATAATTTATTAAACTTATGTTACTGGTAACTGAAGCAAACTAAGAGCAGTATTAATTATTTCTTCAATGATAAAGAAGATGCCGCTTCATAAATGATAAATTGAAGTGGCCGTATAATTATGAGTATAACGCAATGACAAACACTGCATTCGTACTCTTCGAATAGCTTTCTGTAATTTTAATATAACTATTTCAAATGTAGCAGAACCAACAGCATAAGAGTGATACAAAGAAATGTTTTAAAACTGTAACGGAATTTTGTAATTTGTTGTGTTATGTTTAGCGAAATCTAATCACAAACTTTCCTTCAAAAGATACCAAAATTATGAAAACAGAGACTACATTTAAGCTAAAGCTGAGACCTTATTTGTTTTCTCCTAGCCTCTCCTCTTAATTTTCTCCTTAATATAGCCTCTCCTTATTTATACTTTTAAACTCTACACACTAATTACACTATATTTACCTCTATGCATAATTTATATACTTTAGCGTTGGACGAAAGGAAACAAAGAATCTTTGTAACATTCAGTACTAGATTTGAAAATACGTTTTCTTGAAAATTATTCCCAAATTGATGAGAAATACTCAAAATTATTCCCAAATTAGTAAGAAATCACACATTTCATCAACATGGTGGACAACAGTCTGTTAGCAAGAGCCAGTATATTCAAACAGTCTGTCTCTTCAATTCTGTTTTACAGATTTCCAACTTTCTCTTACACAAAATTTCAAGTACTGCCAACTACAGAGTAGTAAATTATTCTTAATAAATTAAAAATTTGTAAGAAATATACATTAAACGAACACAAAACGATAATAGATAAAACAAACAAAAAATAATGAATAAATACAAATAATTACATAATAATACGAAACAGATAAAATCCAATGGATCGCAAACCGAAGATATCACACAGCAGCAAATATGCATGAAATTTACTCTAATACATTTCGCTGAATGAAATGTACGAATCTGCAGAAGTAAGCAAGTGCATTTCTACACACATTTTCTTTTAAAACGATTAATGGTCCCGACTTGGGTAAAACGTCGGTAAGACAGCTTTTAAAATTTTAGCATCCTTTCTAAAACTATTTACTGAGATGTCTTAAAGCAGTTTTATAATTGAAGTCCGAAATTTTGTTATTTTAATTAATTAAAGCATAATGAATATTTTGCTGATTGAAAGTTTTTGTTAGGCACTTTTTTTTTTTTTTTTTTTAAAGGTTGGGTTTTATTTCTTTAAAGCCGTTTTACACATAAAACTGAAACTCTGTGCATGGAACAATTCTCATAAAACTTTATTTCAAAAAGCTTTTTAAATGAAAGTATATGCCTTCAATCAATACTGAAGGGGAAAAAAGAAGCTTATAATCCCTTTTCTCGGAAACTTGCTTAAAATATTTTGTAATAATTAAATAAGAAGGATAAGATAATTGCTCTTAAAATTTACAGGCAAAATTTGACACTTAGAGCTCTCAGAAAAATGCTAAAGAATGAGAAAAGTAAGCGTATTTGTACATAAAATTGAAAACTACTGTACTTTGCGTAAACCCTTTCACAATGAATGTTTTTTTACAGGCTCTGAAAGACATTAAAAGCTCTTCGAAGAATACGGAAGTAGTTTTAATCCAAATGGGTGAGTTAATAGGTGCATTAAAACATTTTTTGTATGTAGTATTTATTTCAGGCAGTTGAGATTATAAAAGACAATGCATGCATTTTAAATTTATTAAAGCATGCATTTTAAATTCACATATATACATATATATATGTACGTATTCATATATTAATCAGTCAATTAATATATTTTTACATATTAATTGACTGTTGTAGGTTCACAGTAAAATCAGGTGTTTAAAACTAGGTTTCAAATTAGGTTTTGTTTGCATTTTTCCATTTAGTAATTTTAATTTTTATTATGTACTGTAAAAATTTTGTTTTGGTTGTTGAGAGTTATTTTCATGTCGGGGTAATTGCTTGATATTTTGGGACTGCGTGTAAATAATGTACAAACTAGTTTTTATTCCTTTATTCTTTTTCTTTTAGTAATTTTACGCAAAAGATCAAGCGGAACGAAATATAAATTCAGTGGACCTGAATTCATATTTCGTTCATTAAATTTAAATTATTACCCCCTGGGAAGTCGATGTGAAGCACTAAATATGAGATCTGAAGGGTTAATATATGAACAATTATAATATGAATAATATTTGAATTTTCAGTTATAAAATATTTTCGTTCTTTCAACTAATCAAACTTTTTCAAAAATATTAAAAAAATCTTTTTAGCAATTTGCATCTTACTTTATCATAAAACTTAAGAGTAATTTTAATTTTAAATTTTCCCCGTATAGTATAATATATTATCTTCAAACACTGATAATAATGTAATCAGTATATGAAGATATTATATAAATTTATTGCATGGCGGTAATAATTAGCCTAGGCAGACAAGATTAGGTAGACGAAAATAAAGCTAAAGCGAAATCTTTACAATTTAACAAAACAAACGAGTACCGAAAAGGACTTTCATGTTTGAAAAAAGTTAAAAAAATCATGGATTTAAAAAATTATGTAGTTTTTAACAATTATGGATTATTATGATTTAAATTGTTTAATTTGTTAACATTTGCGAAATCCTTCTTCGATACTCGGGGAAAATAAAAGATGTCCCCAAAGGAACGCAACTTTTGAAATGCCCGCCATTTCTGTTCTAGTAAGTTGAAAGCACTGAACGTTACACGATTTTAATCTATTGTCTAAGTAATTAGAAGTGGAGTGGACAACAATTTCATGAAGAAAATAATGTTTAGTGAAGAGGCGCACTTTCTGTTGAACGGCTTCGTGAACAAACACCACAAATGCAGCATTTGGGGATCGTAAAACCCTAGTGTAATTATGGAGAAGTCTTTACATCCACAACGAATCACTGTGTGCTGTGGCATTTGGGATCAGGATGTAATTGGGCTGCACTTCTTCGAAGATGGCATCGCAAATCCTGCAATCCTCTTTACTCACAAAGCCGTTTAACAGAAAGTGCCCACGCTACTGAACATTATCTTCTTGATGAAATTGTTTTTCACCCCACAACTAACCACAAAGACAATAGGTGAAAATCGTATAACTTTCACAACTTCCAACCTATTAGAATAGAAATGGCAAGCATTTCAAAAGTTGCGTTCTTAGTGGAATTCCTCCCCCCTTACGTAACTTTGTTCATATGGATCTGCCTTACGCTTACGAGTCCTTTACAATAAAAATGAAATAATGGAAAGGTAATTCGTGTAAGCCTTATCACATAATTTTTCAGATGTCACGAAACTGGAAATGGGAGCTGCTCGAAAAATTGTGGAAGACCATGTAGGAGAAGATGGACTTAATCTTCTCATTAACAATGCCGGAGTAGCAGAAGTGCAGCCTTTTCCTAACGTAACAACAGATAACTTACTGAAACACTTCAACGTCAATACAGTGGGGCCTATAATGATTTTTCAAGTAATGCTATGAAAATTTTATTCTCTTTAATTTCTTGGAAATGGATAAAAGTGTCTGGTCTAATTTATATTATGTTTCATGCATCAGAAAATTTAAGTTGTATATTAGAATTGAAAATAGAGTTCTACCAGTATTTAATAATATATTGTGTGTTTGAACAGTAGCCGGTTTAGACTGCATCTAATTTTGGTCCGCATAAAATTTTGAATTGCTTATTTATACTCGACCATATTCGGTTTATAAATATTTATAAGTATTTTATATTGATAGCTACTCTAAGACTTATGCGTACGGTTATGAGAAAATCACAGCAATACCTTAATTAATGCGTTAAAGATATCTGCTATGGTTAAGTTCTGATGCGGATATAATAGTACCGCGTTCTATCTGTACAAGTTGGAAGTACTGAATTTACTCTGAAAAGCGCCGAAACGTAGATCTGAGGATTTATAATCCCCTACAAATGCAGCTAGACCAAAAACATTTCGAGACAGTGCTTAAGTATAGGACAGCTATAGTTACTTGACGCAGAATTATACATTTTCAAAATATTTTAAGACTAAACATAGAAAATAACGCTTTTACATTTATAAAAAACTATTTTTTTTTTAAATTAAGAAACAATCAAATGCTAAGGTGGAAAATTCTTAGGTTTTTAGGAAGTTCTCTCAAAGCGCTTTAAACATTTTTGTCATTTACATGAAGTATGTGTAAGCAAAAATTTTCTTATTTATGAATTCAGTTAAATTTAAAAAAATTACCTGTAGAAAATAAGCGCAAAAAATGGTCTGTCATCATTTTTAAGGAAAAATGATTTGAAACTTAAAAATTATTAAATGAAAATTTTACGTTACACTTATGGTTACAAGTTTAAGATTTTCAAAGACCTTAATAGTATTTTACAGTATATTACTACTTGCTTTGCTACGTATTTCTGTACTGAGTATCCATAGTGTTAAAATTTTTAATTAAACACATTAGAAAAACTAAAATAATACTTTCCCTAATACTACTGTATTTTGATGAACGAAACATATTTGTCAAGTTGCTTCTAAATTATGATTTTGAAGGTTTAAAATGCAACGAAAATGCTAGTTATGAACACACTGTAGCGTTAAAAATATAATAAAGGAGATATGAGATTATTATTCACTGATTACTGCAGAGAGAAAACTGGCAGGAAAGAGAATCTGCTACAATAGAAAATTTTTTGTAATGTTAAATATTATGTTTCAGAAATGTTCTATTACTTATTCTTAATCTAAATTGACCTTTGATATTTAATACTTGCATGCTGATATATATATGTAGTATTTTAGGACGCGTGGGAGCGAAGACATCATGGCTCGATGGTTATTAATGTTGCTGGCATAGAGATAGAAAGCGTAGCAGAAGAATGAAGTCAAACATAGCTGTAGATTCAACACATAATTTTATATTTTGATGAATAATTTTGGGGGGAATGTGTAGGATACGATATGGAAGAAAATGATTAATTTTAATTTTTCAATAGTCTTTTTTATTCCCCATCTTAATTTGAATATCTCTCCTTTGTGTTTTAAATTATATATAATAAATTTTTATGCACTGCGTCTTTCAAAATTAATCCTACATGCTTAAGTAGTTCTGTAATGTAGTAGATAGTATCCTATATAATCACATTAAAGAAAGTTTTGTCTTTAAATATCACTGCTACTAACACGCGCGGCTCCTTTTCCTGCTTCGCTCACTGCTTTCTAAGACACGCAACAGCTGCTGCTTCACCTCGTTCTTTGTCTATAAACATGCAAGCTATATAAAATTGTAGAGGTGCATAGCCCACCCATAAAGATTATGTGCGAACCTATTTATGCGTATCAAGGCTTGCTAGGAAATAAAACTATGTTGAATCAACGCCACGTCTGCTACTCATTTTAATTTGTCTACAACTCCTTCTGGAATCTAAAGTGTGTCATCTGGAAACCTAATTCGCATTAGGTCATCTTATTAACCCTGCAATGCGGTAAGCTCTTGTCCGGTCGTTGTCCAGAATTTAAACAAAAAAGCCAGCTCTATAAATACTTTTTGCTGAAACGCCCACTCTCTCTTGCCTGCCTTCCTCTCGCTGTGCTAACGTGCGTTGCTTAGTTGTTCGTTTCATCCATTATCTCGAAATATGATAAATTGTGGGGTGATTGTCGCATTCATTGTGATATGTAAACCAACGCAGTATATGTCCAAAAATATTATTCGTCAGAAATAAAATTTATGTAGTGAATTTACAGCTACGTTTTTCTCCAGGTTCCATTCTTCTACTACGCATCTTATCTATATTCTGGCAACATCTATAACCATCCCGGTCATTACTAAAATATAACTGGTGTCTTCTTTCCCACGCATCCTAAATTTATTACATATATATAATTTTTTCAGTGGCATTTAAAACATTTTTTATTGTAAAAAAGGACTGAGTTGCACGTAATTCCAGTGTATTATTATCAAATGATTTCTAAAGTTTCATCTATTACTTTTGAAGATATATTATCAGAACCGCCGCCTTCTCTTTCTAAAATCTTAACACTTTATGAAAGCAAATTTGTATTTCCTACGTTATGTATTTATGTATTTCCTTTATTCGCAGGACTTGTATCCTACTCTTCTAAAAGCTGCGGAACATAGAGATAGTAGTTCTGGAATGAGTGTAAACAGAGCAATGGTCCTTAACATAACTTCCATGGCTGGCAGCATCACTAGAGCCGGAAAGGAATTTGTTCAAGACCTGGCAGTACCAGGATACAAAATCAGCAAGGTCAGTTGTATTATAAATTACTTCTTAATGTAATTATAATTTAGAAGAAAGATAAATTTTTGTTCGTTTCAAAGCATTTTTAGGCTTCCAAAGTGTCGAAGATAGAACAGAAAATAGCCAGAAGTTGCTGAATAGTTTAAATCTGGAATTTGGTTTCATGTGAGCAATGGAATCGAATTGTTCTGGGATTCATTGCATAAAATTTAAGGTTTAAGAGTTATTACAATTATTTAAATCCATCTTCAAAATAAGAATTTTTCACTTCAGTTCACGTCTCTCAGCGTTTGTTAATACCTTCGACGGGATTGCAGATCCTATCATTTGAGAACATTAACTTTAAGCGAAGTTGTGTTTTTCAGTGTTTTCACTTTGGTAAGCTGATTACTGAAGTCGAAAAATAGGCAGAAATATGTTGGTAAAGGATTTGGTAATTACAGTGAACGCGGAGAGATAAAACTTATACTTTGGAAAGATATTAATATTTCATTCGAACTTCGAACAATGATATTTGGATATAAGTCTAGTTGTGTAATAATGCCCAAGACCTATCGATTTAAAAGTTGAAATTTAATACCACTAATAACCTTGATATGATACAAATACGAGTAACGTACAATAGCTTGTTTTTATCGCTATTGTTGTTTTCTGAATTTTTAAATGTATGGAGAATGTGATATCCTTTTGCTCGCCATCTGTTCTAAAATTATGGAAAACGTCAATGACATTCGAAGATTTTCAAACGAGGTACAAGATTATCGCCAAAAATCTATTCATCATTTAATTTCTTAATAATTACGATATTTCACACATCACCAATTACAAAACACCCGATTCAGTGTACTGGGATGTATTAAACAGATAACATTGCATAACAGGACGAATCTATGTCTCAAGCATTGGCCGATTAATCTATTAATTAATTGAAGAACAGCTTTGAATTTTTACGTATGTACGCTTTCCTATACAAGCAACCTCCATCTATTTATATGCATACAACATGTTAATGATTAATATTCATATATTATAATATTGTTGCGTGCGTACGGGTTCGTTATGAAATGAATGCACAAGTCCGATGAAAAATGAACAAAAATTTATTATTATCACAATAAAAATGCTTAAATTTTCTCAAATTATCAAGCAGTATTAAAATATCTCACAGTAGTTATCTTTTAACTAATCAAATGTCCAATAGAACGTAATTCAAAAACAGCTAAAGAAAGTTAATTCGCGAATTCGCTACAATCAACAAGAGCAGTTTTCTAAACAACAACAAACTAAGCAACTCCACGAAGAGATGTTTTCCTCCTTTTATAAGATTTTAAAAATCACGCGCTAGAATTTTCTAGTACTTTCTCGAAATCAAAAAGAGATATTTATTTATTTAATGCACGCGCTCTTGTATTTTCAATTTTCCGGCTTAGCTTTCTTTTAATATTCGTCACGCGCTACACTGCGAGAGAAATAAAACCATTTAATTTATAATTGAACTAACATTAGCTTTTTAAATACAAAATTCGTAACAATATCACGCGCTGCACTGCGAGAGAAATAAAACCATTTAATTTATAATTGAACTAACATTAGCTTTTTAAATACAAAATTCGTAACAATATAATACATGCATATGTTATAATATTCATATATTTTATATAACTATGTACTAAAAATTAGGAAATTCTTCTATTATTTTAAATTTGCATAATTTTTTGAAAAAGTATTTTTCTTTTACTAAATATTATTTAAAGATTTAATGAAATACGCAACTGTGATTGCCTCTATGAAATAAATATTTTTATTAAATGTTTAACTCTGTAAAATATTTACATTAATTTTTTTGTGTAATTTCTATAGGCTGGTTTGAACATGGCCATGCGCTGTTTCGCAGCCAATGTAAAAGATAAAGGCATTCTAGTTGTCATGATGTGCCCTGGATGGGTAAAAACTGACATGGGCTCTGAAAGAGGTGAAATTACAGTGGAAGAAAGTATTTCTACTATGTTCCAAACTCTTCCAAAACTAAACGACACGCATCAAGGATTGTATATGGACCGATTTGGAAACGGATATCCGTTCTGAGAATTTACAAGTCAGCGATAAACACTACCAGCATTAAAGACTTCCTTGAGTCCACCATACATTTCTATGCATTAACATACTAAAATTATAACTTTTTAACCCCTAATATATAAGCAACATTTTGAATTAGATAACTATTTTTATTAAGCAGCTTAGAAATAAGCGTAACAAAAATTTCGATTGAGTTTTCAGATTCTCATTTGTCAAAATCTAGTTCTCGAATAGTCTTTTACTTTATGAATCACGTTGTACTGTCTATGCAAAACTCTAATCATTACAATATCATGAATAATTATCTAGCAATTATTTAAAATTTAGGTGTTTTAAATTTCTATGCTTTTTAAAGAAATTTTAAATGCACCCAAATGTTTCTGTGTAATAATTAATAATATACTTTTCTTTCAATTATTTTGTGCAATAAAAAATGATTTGAAAAATCAATTCCATGCAAGAAATAATTGAAATAAATGAATCGTTCGGTATATTGTGAAAATAATTTAAGCAATTTTTTAGAAGTGTTTCCTATGTGAGACCCTTAACTGGTAGATAATTCATGATGAACCTGAAGTTTTCTTCTCACGTTTTTTTGTTCGTTATTTCAACTCAATCCAAAATACTGAAGAACGTCTGATCTAAATTATTTTCTTTCTTGTTGTATTCTAACAAAAATGTTTGAAATGAAGAGCGTATTGACACTGATCAGCAAGAATGCGTTTGATGGAATGACTATCAGGCATACGATAATATGGGAATGGCTGCCGAGGATTTTGAAATATCATTATATTTGCTACCTGTTTGTGTAGTGAATGACGAAGGCTGTTGATTTAAGCGACTTTATTATAAGGCCAGATTGTGCTGACCCTGAAGCTTGGGTCGTTTGTCTCCGAAACAGTTCGTCGGATGTTCGCGAGGTGCCGTCTTGAGTACTTAGGAAATGTAACAGAAGATATGTGACGTTGATAGTAGATGCCGAAATGTTGGAAGTCGACGCTTGATCACTGAATGAGGACATTGGGAAACTGTCCCGTTTGGTAAAGGCAGATAGCTAGCAGACCGTGACATTGCTCACAATTGAATAAAATGCAGGTCCAAGTATATATTATCGTACCTGAACCCACAAATTTTCGTACTTTTTTAGATACGGGACCTCTCAGAGCAGAATCCCGATCATGTACTTCTGAGACACTTATGAATGCAATGGACCCGTAAATATTGTAATTGGATTATACAGTAATGAAAAGGAGTTGCCCAGTCAAATAAATAACGACTTCTTCAATATCATGGCATAATTGCAATATGGATGCTGTCATCCAAGCGAGTTAATTGACAGATGTACTGCAAGACAAACTGGTCGATGACGGAGTTATTATACTTAGGACGAGGTTCTGATAGGCGTTACTGCTTCTCTAGAATCCTGTCGTTCTTGCAGAACACACCAGTTGTCGTTCTTGCAGAACAAAAACTGCGGAATATGTGACCAGTTACACTCTTGTATAATTTCTGTCTTTTCCACCACAGATGAAGTTTTCCAATACAATGAAGTTTCTTATCGTAAAGCCGGAATTTAATACAGTGAACTGAGGAACAAGAAACAATGCTCATGAACTTCTGAGTGTCTTCGTGATGTAAATGGTAGTTGGCAGTCGAAAGATTAGGAATTTCAATTCCAGGTAAAGCACAGTTAATTTTCTCCTGTTTCATGACCCCAAAAATATATAATATACTCTAGGAAGTGGCATCGACTAAAAATAAAGTGGTTAATAATAGGTCACCAAGTGAATAAGGTGAGTGCATCTCCTTCCTCCTTAGTCGCCTTTGAAATGGGGTAGAATATAAATAATTTCCGCCTTCGTGATGTAAGTGGTAGCATGGCTGCCTATCAGTTCTGAAGTATGAATCTGTGAACGCATCCTGAATTTTTGTGCTTTATATTTTGAAAAGCCTAATTCACTCTATAACCAATTCTTAGATAAATGTTTAAAGGCATAGAATTCGTTTACATCAAAAATCTGAAATATAATCAAAATATAGGAAATGAACAAGTTTAATATTTGTGGGGTGTCCGAATCATATCTATTCCGCCTAAAAAGAAGAAACAAATTATTTATCTTGCACTTTCATTAAATGTAAAAATTCACATGGTCGTTGAGATCACATTAAGTTCTTATAATTTGATTTTAAAGGGCTACATCAAATATTGTTGGACTTTACTAGTAGGGGAAAAAAAAAAAGGGGTCTTTTCAAAGCAGTTTTACTGTGTATACTAGGTTTCTTTAAAAATTCTGTAAGAAATACGCCTAGAGATATTTATTCACGTATTAGTTTCGAAAAAATGGGAACATGAATTACTCTTTGGAACAGCTAAGTTTTGTAGCATAAAAGCAGTCGTAGCTACATTATGTAAAGAAAGCCTAAATGTTTATTTAGACATACACAAATTGAATTACGTTGGACGAACTAAATAAATAATGTGAATACTCTAAAAAATAACACTGCGAATGAAAGAAAGCATATATTTTTTCTTATGTTTACCATCACTACATTCCCAAATCATAATGGAGAAAGTTGCAGATGTTTTGAAATAACATCAATAAAACTTAAAGTTAAAAATAACACGTCGAATAATGATTATTTGAGAAGTCAAACAACAAGAATTACGTAATACTTGTAAATTTTGCAGGACTAGTTTCTATGATTTAACTACAGAACCACCTTCTTCAACTGCCTAAGCGCAAATGAAAGAGATAAGATAAGACTGGCTGGAAAATAGTTAAGCGGAATTTTCTGTTAAGTATGGTTTTCTGACCAACAGTGCTGGGCAACAGAGGATTTCTGTGTTTACTTCTCCCTAACATATGCCTCATCTTCTTTAACACGAAATTTTATTTAAAGGCTTTCTTAATTTAACGAATGTAAATTAAACCAAATTCGCAAGGAATCCTGTAAATACCCCAGGAATTCATATTCGGAATGGGGTCCTTAAGTATGGAACTGGAATTTTATTGGCAGGAGATTTATCTCATTCATTTGCACTAAAGCAGCTGATGGTTTTGTTGTTAAACCATCGAAACTAGTCCTGCAAAAATTTACAAATATCACCTTGATTCGCGTTGTTTGACTTCTCCAATAATCAATAAAACTGCCAATCTCGAATTTTTGAAACTAGTACATCATCACATTATAGTTTCACAGCTGCCTAATTTAACTTCCACATCAAAATTTTCCAAATAAATAAAGAAATAATGAAAACTATAATATAACATTTTAATAAAGAAAAATATAAATGTAAATTGAAACTGAGCGAAATTTCTAAGATTAGACCTGCTTTTGAGCACTTAACTCAAAATAAAGCATACTTCCTTTGAATGCCTGGTTTCAGAAAAAAAAAAAAAAAAAAATATTACCTTAGAACTGATTACGAAAATATCTGGTAAATAAAAACAATAAATTACTGATTGCTGTTTGTATTGAGAAAACATCGTACATTTAGATTTAAAAATAAAAAATTACGTTCCAATAAAAAAAAATTACATCCATTGCAAACTAGCATTTTGTTCCTCATTATTCTATTTTCGCTTTCCAACACAAGCAAATTTCCCAATGATAATACTTCAGCTTAAATTCGTGGTATAATATTCAAATTGCGCAATTATTAGTTGAAAGGGGCTTTGTCCCTGAAGGACTATTGTTTTCGTTTTGCGATTTTGCGTTGAATCACTATAAATTTCCTTTTCACTTTTCAAACTGTTGCCACCAAATGTTAGAGTCCTGCATTATATTTGAAGAAATTAAATAATGAAAAATCTGCATAAATGTATGTCTATTTCTCGCATTGTGATAAAACAACGGTAAACAGAGCCATCGAATTTTGAATGACGTAATCCTCCTACGAATATGGGCACGTAGAAGACCAAATCTGAAATTTGTAATGTGTTTTATTATCGATTTCATATTTCGTAAAACTTTAACGAATTTTTGAGTAACAAACTCAACGAAAGCGAGCAATAGCAACAATCTACCGGAGGAAAAAAAAAAAAAAAAAAAAAAAAAAAAAAAAAAAAAAATCTCCAGCGCAACGAAATTGTGTGTCGAAATTCTAAAGATAGGCTCATTTTAAAACTACACTCATGTCCATAAATTAAGGATAACTCGAAACTCTAAAATAAATATATCACCTGAAAATCACTACACACATCTTCAAGAATCATGTGCACATTTCAGGAAGTAACCAGATGACACCGATGATACGTCACAATGACGAGAGTGTGAGAGTGATATAGTATAAGGAATACAGGCAAAGAAGTAAAATTGTTCGCAGGCGCTTTATAAGCATTTCAGTGCAATAACGGAATAGTTATGATACAAAGGACGCATTTGGATGATTTTTTACGTGGTAGAATTATCGGCCGTCTGGAATGTGGGCGTACCCAACTGGAAGTATCAGACGAACATGGAATTGCCCAGAGTGTCATCTCCAGGCTTTGGCAACGATTCCAAGATGATGGTAACGTGAGTAGACGTTACAGCACAGGTCGCCCCAGAGTTACAACGCCGAATGAGGACCGGTATTTGGCAGTTGCTGCCAAAAGAAACAGACGGAGCACAGCCTCAGACCTGTTTCGTCAGCTCTCTTCAGCCACTGGTACGACAATTTCAAGGCAGACCGTGTACAGACGCTTAGGGCAGATTGGTCTATATGCTCGTAGACCTGTCAGATGCCGTGATGTTTTCCGACGAGTCCAGGTTTAGCTTGCAGTCTGATTCTCGCCGGACTTTCATACCTGAAGAGCTCCAGGTACACGTTACCACCAAGAAAACATCATTGAACGACACTGTTACGGTGGTGCAGGAGTGCTCGTTTGGGGTGGAATTATTCTGGGTTCCTGAACTGACCTGCATGTTCAAATTGGAACCATGACAAGCCAAATCTATCGGGACGTCATTCTAGAACAACATGTACGTTTGTTTCGGAGCGCCATGCAAACATCGTATGCGAATGCCTTCAATCGGAGGATATCACCCGTATGGACTGGCCAGCATTCTCACCGGACTTGAATCCAGCAGAGCACGTGTGGGATATGCTTGGCCGACGAGTTGCAGCCCGTCAACCTCCTCTTACATGTCTACCGGAACTTCGGAGAGCATTGCTTTTTGAGTGGTGTAACATCCCCCAAGATCAGATCGATAATTTGATACTCAGCATGCCTAGGCGTTGTACGGACTGTATTGCATCGTCTGGGAGACATACAATGTATTAACAATTATGCCAACCATGTAATATTGGTTTTTTGT